GGCGGGTGGCAGCCTCAAGAGCGCCGCCAGGCCCAAACAAAGTGTCGTTTGGGCCTACCCGCTGGGCTGAGTGCAAAATCAGGCCTTTAGGGCCTGTGACCCTCAAAGGTCGGGCCTTTAGGCCCTGGTGTGTCCTTCCGGCCCTAAGTCGGGTCAGGTAGGACCCGTGTGACTCGGAGATGTAACAGTCAAACTCCAGATCCTGCAAGGGTATTCCGGGTTGATAAGCTCTGTAATCGTCATCCTCGATCACTCTGATTTTCCCGAGGAGTCGGGGCCTCGCCGTGACTCGGGCCCGGAATGATTTCGAGACCCTGCTAAGGTTGGACCCCGGCTGTTCGATGTCCTGTATGGACCATAATAGGGAAATCTGTAGATCTATTTTCCAACAAATAGAAAAATGCAATTATGTGAAGGAACTCGCATTAGTTGAGATTTGCTAAGACTAAATGCAGAAAATATGGTCAAATATCTTTGCACGTGTTCTCAGCTAAAATGGATTATGCTCAGGCACAAGCATCTACTCCTTATGGAATCTTAAATTTCAAGGTGTGGGTCCCATATTCATAAAAGCCTCGACCTTCCACCATTACTAATGGGGTACAGCTACGCTGCTGGTGTAAATAAAGGTAGTACAGATCCTCTGCGATCCACCATTCATTTTGGCGGATTTCACCAGGCTGTGTTGTTATGGGATGTCATTTCGCATCCTGCACGTGCGCATGCGTCAGTTGTGTGTTGTTTTAAAAGACCCCAGATTCTCTCCATAACGAAAAACCTATAGATAGGCAGTATAATAGAAAATGCAAGGTTGGCCACGTTTGTGTGGTTTAGCGCCAAGTGCCCACACACCCGTCTGCTACCAAAGCGACACACTTGCACATATACATATGTATACGTATATTCCAAACCATATGGGGATGGAGGGCAGAGGGCAACTTACTTAAGACAGAAGACTACTCCAGCAAGAATGCACCGACCCGATGGTGGTTGAGCGGCAGCTGCCCACATCCCCGTGTGCCTCAACGGCCCACTTGCACATTATTACAGAAGGCCCACAAAACCAAAAACTCGTTTACCAAAAACAATCAAACATAACAGCATTGGTGTGTGTTTTAAAATATTGCACCACAACAGCCCCCTATTCCATCCAGACGAGCAGATACGAGTTGAGCCAGCTCAACAATTAAAGAATTTCACCTCTTTAGCAATCAACGAGAATCATAATAGAAGCGTTTAGAACTGTGTTTAGCTGGGGTTTCTTCGGGGCAACAGCTCCTCTTTTACTATGCCTCACACGTACAAGCCTGCCCACGTTGATGGTGGTTGAGCGGCGGCTGCCCACATCCCCGTGTGCCTTAACGGCGCACTTGCACATTATTACAGGAGGCAGAGTGAAAGGGAAGGTATGCTCCTGTGCATTTCTCTTCAGGTCTTCATACTACTGTTCATCTCATTTCAGATCTTCAGCTTATACTTGGTCAATGTATCTGTCCTTCATCTTCGTACTTCCATTCATTTCAATTCCGATCTTCATCGATCTTCACATCGTCTGTTCTCTCAACGATGCTCATCCGTATGTATTTGCTAGTAGCACAAAAGGGGAGAGAGAGAGAGAGAGAGAGAGAGAGAGAGAGAGAGAGAGAGAGAGAGAGAGAGAGAGAGAGAGAGAGAGAGAGAGTGTGTGTGTGTGNAGAGAGAGAGAGAGAGAGAGAGAGAGAGAGAGAGAGAGAGAGAGAGAGAGAGAGAGAGAGAGTGTGTGTGTGTGTGTGTGTGTGCGTGTGTGTGTGTGTGTGTTGATTAGGTTGTGAAATCACCATCATCACAGTGGATTGACTCTTCTTATCCTCGTGTCATCATCACTGTGGCTCAGGGTCATCTGCCTCCCCCACGTGTGTGAGACTCACCTTCATCCCTGGCAAGTGATTCCGACTTCCCCACCCTCCCCTGCCCCTTTCTCGAAAGCAGAACCGTTACAGAAGGACCACTACAAAATCTCTCTTTTTTTTTTTCTCTTTTTTTTTAATCAAATCCCCCCTCCAGTGATAGTGGTGCTGGTAAGAGCAGACACCACTAGCACCTGAGGAGAGGCTCCATCTATTGGTGGGGAGCAGCACCTGCTGGCCCACTACAAAATCTACCAAGGGAAAATGAGAGATGCGCCTTGATCCAGTTCTTTGCCGGGATTGGAGACAACCCGTGGGCTCAGACACACATTCATTTGCAAGTCATAAAGCAGGCTGGGAGGTCATCGACGCACCATGATTCACAACACAATTCTTTGTAGATGTTGGATATGACTTATGGGCATGGACACATTCATTTGTGAGCTGGTACGGCAGGCTTGGTTGGGGGGGGGGGGGGGGGGGGGGGGGGGGGGGGGGGGGGGGGGGGGGGGGGGGGAGGAATAGTGAAAAAAGCAAACTGGTGGGGAAGAGTTTTGACATGGACGGACAGAGTTGTTGGAAGATGAGAATCTGAAGAAAAGCGAACCATTTTTATTATTTGAGAATTCAGAAACTCCCCAAAAAATCAGTGGCTGTAAATGAGCCACATCATTGCTCTCTACAATCCAGATCTCCTACAGCTAGCCCAAATTAGAACCATCATGGCAGCTTTGTCAACCTATCACAACATTTCACAGCATTCACCGATCTGAACACCCTCCATCCATCCCAGGGTAACTACGTCCACCAGAACTAGACGCGGGAACGATGAGAAAGGAAATGCAACACAAGCTCCTAAGAAGACACGCTCACTGAAACGGGCCGAGTGGAACAAGATGTGATCCTCATCCAAAACACATCTTCCATACATTGCCGTGACCGGCTACCAACCTCCCTTAGCGCACCCCAAACAAACTAAGCAGTGAGGCGACCAGCATTCCTCCTTTGTTCTCCATGGCCTCCATAATGTTGTGGACAAAAGTGGAGAGGGTGTGCACACTGGCTCTTTCCATGGTCATCGGCATCGTGTCTCTGCTGTGTCCTCCCAGCATTCTCCGTCATGGTCTGACCTCATATTTCCAGCCCGTATTTACAAGTACACATTCTTCTTCAAATACCAACATTCTACAAACTGTGTCTGGCCTATCTAAACAACAAACATTTCACAGAATAAAAACATTACATTTTCAAAAACCAATCAAATCACCTTCCTACCTGTAAACTCGAAATGCAGAGAGGTGCAGGCCGTCCAGGGCATGCCAAAACAACCCTCAAATCCACATTATATGCTCCATTGACCAACTGCCGGTGGTGGGCCCACTCATCGCAGAGACCTTTGCTCCATAGACCCAAAATCATATAGAAACGTGCAGGTTTACAAGATACTGCATCGTCTCCACCGCAACTATGGGACACAGGTGTTGGAGGCACAGGGGGTAAAACCACGGAGCTGGTTTCATCCTGCACTCTCTTGCAGTGGATCCTAATTACATCCAAGAGACGAACACCAACATTGCCCCAAAAACTATCGTTTGGCTAGCACCACGGAAACTATCGTTTGGCTGTGGAACCTCTTCCAATGGCAGAGACGGCATCCCGAACAAACTGGTCAGAGGTAGATCCCCCCGTGAGGGCATCCGACAGCATTCCCATCACGTCAAATGCCTCCTGTGGGTCGTCCGCCCCCTGCATCTCTTCTAGCCATTCAAGCATTTCCCTGGAGAAGCCCAACAGCGCGCTTACATCCTTCAATCTCTCTCTCATTACCATCTCCCAGGACTCTTCCCCCTCAATGTGCCCTTCGCACCCCTCTCTTGCTCCTGCTGCGCCTTGCGTTTCTCCTTGCCCTGCCTGCACAGAACTGCCTGCCCGTCCTCTCGTCTTGAAAAAGCTATGCATCTGCTCAATAAGACCAACATATGTCAACATGGGATGCACAATCTGGAACAACTGCTGCATATGCATGGACTCCGCCTCACTGTCACCCTCCCTGGCATCTCCCAGCAATGATTTTTCTTCAGCCTGCAGGGAACCTGAGGATCCGAGGAAGCCAGATAGTTTTGGTGTTGGTCGAAGGAGAAGCTTGGCGAACCCAGACAAGGCTGCCGTTGCTCCTGAAGAGCCCGGACCAGGCGACACAGCAAGAACAGGTTTACCAAGGCGAGCCTGAATATATGCATGTTGCATAGCCCTCTGCAAAAACAATCGACGGTGTTTCTGCCAATCCTCCAATGACATCAGCAGCACAGTTAAGACCAGCACATACGGCACACTTTCCTCTGTAGACCGCCCGCTTGGTGGAGGAGTCATTTGAGGTATGAGCCCTGCCAGACCCAGACCTGAAGCAAGCTTTGAAGGAGAGGCCATTACATGATCAACAGCTCCTCCAAACCCGGTGACACCTGTTCCATTTTCTGCATCTGCAGCCAAGACATATGAGCTGAGAGCACGCCGCAGAGCACGGCAGTGTACTGCGCCCCCCTGCTCCAACAGGTGAGCGCCCATTTGCACCATGAATGGTAACAACCTGGAATTGCTCTCACGACCACCACCCTTACTGTCAGCGCTAAACGATGCACCAGTAGCAAACCGGCCAAGTAGGCAGGAGAGGTCGTGAACCAGTAGCCGGAACCGGCCACCCTCAGCTCTTCCCAGAGAGTTTAGGTTGTCCCAATACATATCCACACAGCGCATGTAGCTTGCCTGTGGTACTGCTGGCCCTCTCAGTGGGAACAAATTGTTACACAGTGTCTCACTGTTCCTCAGAGCGGCACCCTCCCACTCCTTCTTTGGAGTTTTCAGGGCAGCATCAGCTCTCTTTGCCTCCTGGTGGCACTGGAAGTGAATGATATTAAAATGACTCACTGTGCTGTAAATCCAATCAGACCTGCTGCTCTGACCTCCCCAAAGCAAACCAAGATTTACTCGCTTACTGTAGCAATAAGCACCTAGCATATCCGACGGTCGTAATCTGTATCCTTCACGGCATACCATGCAGGATAACTCGGCATCTTCCTCTTCAACCTCCTCCAATCCTTCGATTGCTGGAGCTGCCTCCAGTGTTATCCGCTCTCCACCATCTGCACGCAGCTCCCGATGCATCCCCATATCCTGCACACACACAATGACATCGAGCCATCCATTGAAGGAAGACCATCAGCATCATGATAGCTTCATGGTCGATCACAGAGTCATTCCCGATGAGAGGGGCCATGCCTGCATCACTTGTTCTACTCCCTGTCAACATCACACGAAAGTATTAGGAAATATCAATACGCTTCTCACCTGAAACACCACTGAGGTTCGCAGTAAGGAAACAAACAATGCCATGTGATCACTGTCATGCCATATCACTCACATGCAAAGCAGCAACTTTCCGGAGAGGCAACAGAACTGAGATTCGGGACAAAGAAGCTCACAATACCCATTGATCAGTGTGACAGCATATCACTTGCATGCAAAGCAGCAACTGCATGTGAAAAATGAGATGCCATGGGAGAAAAGATCACTGTAGGGCTGGTCACTCATCCGATCTGCCAATGAATAGAAATGCCAATCATCTGGAAATAAGCGACGGGAGCAGAAGAAGAAGAAGACGCTGCCGACACTGACGCAGACACAAAAGCCCTTGAACTTTCGGCGATCATGTTTTTTACAAAAGAAGAAGAAGAAGAAGAAGAAGAAGAAGAAGAAGAAACGGGAGCGCCGTGGAACAAGCAAAATATGTGCATTTACTGTCCACACCCGAATGAGAGAATGTTTATTGTCGCATAGTGACGAACCAACAGCACTTTCATCAAGGATGGAAATCAAGAGAAGGTAAAAGCGGAGCGCGGCTCGACCGGTAGCACCGCGCCGCTCCACTACCGACATGGGCCGGTTCGTGAGTTGGTGGCGCCTTGTCGGCACGGCTCCCTGCGAGGAATATTGAGTTGATGTGGGCAATGGGGACTACAGCGGCAGGCGATGACGCGAGGTTCCGTTCGTTTTGTCTGGCGTGGCCATTGACGTGATGCTTCGGCTGAGGGTTCTTCCAGCCTTGATAACCTAGACTGAAGAGGTGTCGCATACCGTAAAGGTGCAGACCAGAACAAGAACCGACCTCTCTCACAAAGTACAAGATAGCACAGCGGAAGGCTTAAATACCAACGATCCGAACAATCAATGTCGCAATGTAGCCCAAACATACATCATCATCATTCCATGGTGTGAAGGGGCCTGGCGCTCACACAGGAAGAATGCGCCAGTCCCCAACCATACACAGACGAAGAAGAGGGGGGTTAGACGAAGAAGAGGGGAAGATGGGAATGTCGTCAACACCAAGTCTTCGGCACAGGTCCCAAATAATCCCTCGTCAAATGTCTGAATCCCAATGTCGAGTCTGGATCCAATGTCGTCAAGTCCCAAAGTCACCAATCTCTCTCTCTCTCTCGTAGTCTGCAGGTACTGAGAAGTTAGAAAGCAAGAGGGGGAGGAGGAGATGGTGGACTTAGAAGAGGAAGAAGAAGAACTCTCTCTCTCTCAGTCCAGTACTAACCTGTGAAGGTGGCGCCTTGTTGCAGGTACATCGAAGACGAAGCTGGAGCTATGGCGCCACAGGTAAGTCTCCCTGGCCTCCGCCAACCATCTCTCTCTCTCCACTACTACTCTAGCTCCTAATAGCGCCCAGCGCTGAAGACTACTGCTAACGCTACTACTACTACTGCAGCGCTCCTCCAGAGTGCTGCTTCCGAATACTGAAGACTGCCTCCTGCCTCCTGCACGTGAAGTGCCTGGGAAGTTCCCAGGAACTACCTCGTGACTGTCTGCAGCGTGTAGGGCGGGCCAGTCTTATGTAGTGCTGGCCCGTCCAGGAGGCTGCTCTTGCCAATGCCAAAACGTGCCAGACCNAGGGCGGGCCAGTCTTATATAGTGCTGGCCCGTCCAGGAGGATGCTCTTGCCGATGCCAAAACGTGCCAGACCCTGGCGTTGAAGTTCAACCAAGGGTTGTCTTGAAAACAGGCCAAAAATGGCCTGTGCTAAAACCCTGGTCTGGTGCCTAAGTTTCAGGGCAGATCGATCTTATGAGGGCCTGAAAATGGCCCTCCGTTTCAGGCTGAAAAGACTCAGGGCCTGGAAGGCCCTGTTTTAGGCTGAAATGACATAAGGGCCTGAAGGCCCTCGTTTTCAGGTTTTCAGGCTGAAACAACACAGGGCATGTAAGCCCTTGTTTTCAGGCTTTTAGGCTGAAACGCTGGTCGGGCCCTGCAGGCCCGTGTGGCTGCGCAATATGCCACAAGAGGTCTCTTGCTCCGTGCTTCGTTTATGAGGTGTTGCAGGTTGACACGCTAGAGGCAGGGGAGGCTGTCGGGGTGATTAGGATACTCTTCATGAGATCTTGGGCATGGTAGTGCCCTTGCTCCTATGCTCCTGTGCGAATCTAGTGGAGGTTGGTTGGGCAGCGCGGGCAGAAAGTGACGAGCATCTTCTCATGCGGAGTGGGAGGGAGGCTTGTTACAAGCTGGAGCGTCAAAAAGAGCTGGCGGTTTCGAGCGTTCGTTTGAGCTGGTTCACTAGCTAAAGACACGGAAGCAAGTAGCAGCGCAATAATGACAGTGGCGATGGAGCAGGAGAATTCTCTGCGAACATGTGTAGCGCTCTTCACGTCGGCTGCCTTTTCAAATTGATTTCGCTGATTTTAATATTGAATCTTCTAATTTCCTATAGTCTTGCTCTAATCTAGTGCCTACATTCTTGCTCTAATCTAGTGCTAAGACAGTTATAAATTCAGCTTCTCAGATTTGGAAAAATAAACTCACAATCTTATCCTCTATTTTCTCATTCTCATTTACATATACACACATACACACATATTGTTACATCTTCGACTCACACGGGTCCTACCGGACCCGACTTAGGGACGGAGGGACACACCAGGGCCTAAAGGCCCGACCTTTGGGGTTACAGGCCCTAAAGGCCTGATTTTGGACCAGCACCCATCGGGTAGGCCCAAACGACACTTCGTTTGGGCCTGGCGGCGCTCTTGAAGCTGCCGCCCGCTGATTGAGGCTGAACCATCCATCTGGACGGTCCAGGGTCTGGCCTGGACTCGCAGCATTGAGGCCAGACCATTGCCTACCGGTATAAGTACCGGTACCCGCCTCAGTTGAGGCATCGGCCTACCGGAGCTCTACCGGCACGGCATGGTCAGTACCAGCGTACTGTTTGGATGCGCTAAACTTAGCGCAGGGGCTGAAGCAGGAGCGCAGCATAGCGCAGCTTAGCGCAGCAGCAGGGCGACTGAGCCAGCACGGCGGCCATTGCCGCCTGAGGTACAGGGAGCTTGGAGGGTCTCTCCTCCTCTCCCTCGCCAGTCCCCTCTCTCTCTCTCTCTCTCCTCTTCTTCTCCTTCTTCTTCTCCTTCTTCTTCTTCTTCTTCTCCTCCTTCTTCAGATTGGAGACTATCCAGTTGGACAGAGATCAGAGTTGGATTTCGGTGATACGAGACTGTGGTACTTACCTGATTGGAGACTTGGAGATTGTTGAGGTTGATACTCGGCTGCATCACAGTTGGACACCGGTTACATCTGGACTCGGTTAT